GAGTGGCAGAGGTCATTGCCTGGCCCAGGGCAGACCCTACAGCGCAGGGCAGACTCCCACTTTGTGGGGGCTGGATGCAATAGAATACTCAATCTAACCCAACCTGTATCCACTGGCCTCTCATAGATGTGCAGGCTCAATCAGACCCACATATGCAGGGACTTCCCTGGTGGCGCAGTGGTTAAGAATCCGCCTGCCAATGCAGGGGACATGGGTTCGAGCCCTGGTCTGGGAAGATCCCACATGCCACGGAGCAACTAAGCCCGTGCACCACAACTACCGAGCCTGTGCTCTAGAGCCCATGAGCTACAACTACTGAGCCCACAGGCCACAACTACTGAGCCCTCGCGCCTCGAGCCCGTGCTCCGCAACAAGAGAAGCCACCACAATGAGAAGCCCGCATGCAGCAACGAAGACCCAACGCAGCCAAAAATAAATAAATAAAAGAACCACATATGCAAGAAGGAAAGGGGACACAACCTATGGCAAGCGGATAGAATCCCCAGAAAAAAATCAAAGATTCTCTGGCAACAAATAATATCCAGGTTCTAGGCCTACCTAGGTGGTTAAGAAACAACCTGATTTGGGGCAAGTTATTCATTCATCCAAAGGTTTTATCTTTCTGTGCCAGGTGCTCTGCTAAGGGGATTATCAACTTGTGTAAGAACTGAGTTTTGTCCCAAAAAAACATCCCAGTCTCTAGGCAAAAGAAGAGACACCAAGGACAATTATTGATCAATGACAGAATAAAAAGTTGTACACCAACCAGTCAACTCTAACTCCGAGAGGATTTCACAAAGAGCTAAAGACTCTGAGGGCGATGGGCTCTGAGGTCGGATTATTCGCTGTACAGCCTTGGGTGCGTTGCTTTGTCTCTCAGAGCAAAATGGGTAAGACACCACCTACCTCATGGAGGCTCTTGAAAGGAATAAGTAAGATAAAGTGTGTGTAAGGTGCACAGCACAGCGCCTAGCACAGAGTGGTTAGCGATTAGAAAGATGGCCGGAGAAAAGGCCATCCAGGCACTGGGCACAGCTTGTGTGAAGCCAGGGAGGGCCCGGAGTCTCCGTTTCCTCATCTGTAAAATGTTTCCTGAGAAAGGTCCCTACACCAAGGCCTGCCGGTAGGGGTAGGCTACGTGAAATGGGTGGACGAGAGGCCCAGGGGCGTGTCCCCGAGGAGATTAGCCCCTTCCCCCAAACAGCCCCTCCAAATCTTACTTACCTCGGTCAAACTTTTTGCCCTCCGGGTCAATGTCTTTTACATCAAAAATATCCTCAAACAGGATGCCCGCCATGGTGAGGGGGCCACGAAAATAGCGGAGGGGCTGAGCGCCCGACCACGACGACTAGGGGTACGCGCACCCCCTCGCGTGGAGGTAAAGAGGAGAAAGGAAAAGGCAGCGCTTGAAGAGCGGCGGCTAAGAAATAGAATAACGCATGCGCACGGACAAGCAGGAACGCGGCCACTTCCGTCACCTAGCTCTCGGGGCTTCTTAACTTCCGCCCCGAACGATTCTTTCCGAGAGGCTGCAGCATTAAGGGCGGGTCTCAGGTCCAAATAACTCCGCCCCGGGCGGCAACACGATAGGTCCCACCTCCGGCCGAGGCGGCGTCTTGTCCGGCTCTCTCCAGTGGCTCTACTGCGCCCTCTTCAGAAGCCAGGTCAGGAAGACTGGAATGCTTGGGGGCCTACCCAAGCCAGAGACCTTGATCCTTGGCCCAGAGAAGCCCGGCCCGTACCCTACCGTGCCCGTCCGCCTGCCCGCCGAGGGCACAGTCCGTGCGAAGGGCGAGCGGAGAAGAACCCCGCCCCCAGGGCGCTGGCCCGGCAGGGCTCAGGACCCAGCCCCTCCAGCTGGCAACCAGGCCTGCCCAGGCCGGCTCGGCCCATATGGCTGTCACCTGAGCCGGGTCCGTCCAGTTTGGGAATTTGCCATGATGTCACCATGGGAAAGAGGAAAGCCTGCATCGTCCCCACCCCTACTCTCTTCCCTCACACCGCCCCTTCAGCAGGCATTAACCCCCACCCACTGCCCTCCTCGAGCACTGCCCCTTAAGCTCGGTTCTGCCC